ACCGCGCCGTCGTCGTCGAAGAACTTGCCCACCCACTCGAGCTGCGTCTTGTTCGGCTTCGGGCAGCCGGGCGGCCGCGTGACCGCGTCGTCCTTCGCGTCGGCCGTCTCGGGCTCCGTAGGCTCCTCCAGGGGCGTCGACCCGTCGAAGACATCGTGCCCGACGACGGTATTGAGCGTCCAGGCCACGCACTCGTCCGCGTCGTCGGCCCGTTCGGGATCCTCGAATCCGACCTCCGTCGACTCGCTTCCGTCGAGCAGGCTCGCCTTCACGCCCACGTTCCAGAGCGAGCCCAGGGCTCCGGTCACGTCCTCGAGCTGCGCGTCGCTCGTCAGGTTGATCGTCTGGATCGTCGTAGAGGCGCCGCGCCGGACGTTCATGACGTCGTCGGGACGGAGAGACCACTTTTTGCTCTCTCCGCTCGACTCCACGCAGCGCGTGAGGGCCGCGCCGCCGTCGTCCGCGCAGCCGACGAGGCGCTTGATGATGTCCCAGTCCATGACGTCGATGGCGAGCTTCTTGGTCGCGTAGCCGATGCCCGTCTTGTCCGCGGCGACCGAGCTCACGGCGTCCCCGGACAGGAGCGCGTAGACCTGCGACCGCAGACAGAACCGCCACCGCAAAACCTTCGACGTGCGCGAGAGCAGCAGCGTCGGCCGGCCCATGAGCCGGCCGTGCTCGCCGTCCTCGGGCCTCGCGGCCCATTTGCCCGCGGGCACGGTCCTCCCGGAGACGCGGTCGATGACGTAGACGTCCTTCAGGCCGTTGAGCGGCACGCCGATGTGCTCCGTGGCGTGGGCGACGACGATGATGTCCTCGATGTCCGCCGTGGGCAGCCAGACGGTCTTGTTGCCCAGGTTCAGCTTCGCGGGCGCCGGCGCCCCATCCGTCGGCGTCGCGGTCCGCGGAGCCGGCTCGTACTTGCGCACGAGGATGTAGTCCTCGTTGCGCCTATTTATGGGCAACAAAAGGGGTATGGTATAGGGGGGGGGCAAAACTATAGGTAAATACGAAGGGGGATATTTAAGGGGGGGAGTAAAAACCAACAAGAAAGTAAGTAATGGAGCAGGAGTTAATTTAATTTAAGTAGGGGTGAATTTTAATTTTCAGGGGAGGGAGGAGTGCTGCTAATTTTCACTGCTGCACATCATAGCATAGAATTTTCACTGGTGGATAATTTGGAGCCGATGTTGGCAGAAAAAAGCGACAAGGCCCCAGCCGAAAATGGCGATGCGCCATTACCCGAGGATATGGCATGGCAAGCGAATGGATCGGTGCCGGATGAATTTAGAGATTATGCTCCTTCTTGAACTGCACAAAATGACCTGTGCAGGTGATCTGCCACCTCACCTTTTAGAGATTTTTTTCGCGGGGGTAGTCTAATAATGATATTTTGCACGCTTTGCTGGTCGTGCTAAAGGAGGGTTGCTTCGGGCGAAAATTTCGAGGGAGGCAGCCCCTTTTGCAAAAAGAATGCTGGGATGCTGGGTTTGGCGTGTCTTTGAGGCAGCGTGACGTCCTGTCTGCCTCACAGGCTGAGGAGGATGCAACCTTCCTCAGCAGGCTGAGCCTGAGGAGGATGATGATCACATTCAAGGGAGGAAGATGGTGGCTGTGCTCAGGAAGCTGAGGAGGATGATGATCATACTCAACCTTGGAGGAAGCTGGTGGCTTTCCTGCTCAGGAAGCTGAGGAGGATGATGATCACACTCAACCTTCCTCAACAGGCTGAGGAGGATGATGATCACACTCAAGGGAGGAAGATGGTGGCTGTGTTCAGGAAGCTGAGGAGGATGATGATCATACTCAACCTTGGAGGAAGCTGGTGGCTTTGCTGCTCAGGAAGCTGAGGAGGATGATGATCACACTCAAGGGTCGCCTAGAGCACTAGCGCATTCAAGGAGAGCGTCGTGACGCACTCAGTTAGCTCATCCGAGGACGCCGGTCCCCCCTCACAAAGGTTAATCTAGGACAGCTCGCGTCGGCGAAACGGCGCCACGGAGCGCGCGAGCATGCCTCCAAGCGCCAAAGCAACAGCAGCCATTGAAATTAAAAATAACATGAAGCCACGATGAAGGCCAACGGTTGCCAGCCGCGAGTTCAGCCGTCCTGCACAACGCTTTCTGCTCGTGCATCGATGCAGCGATTCTAAGATTTGGCGCTGCGCTCGATCTGTGGACCGTGCCGCGCCTCGGGGCCCGCAGCGAATCGCTCGGGAAACGCCATCGGTCGAAGGCGACCAACTTAGCTCGCGTCGGGGCAGCCCATGGATGACGAGAACGGCCATTGACGGTGAACGGCGGTCGATGGGGGGGCAACCTCGTACCAGGGGTCGAGCTGGCAGCGAGAGTGCGAGGTGACATCCCCTCGATTGTCCTTCTCGACTGGCTCGGCAAGGACTGCGCTGCCAGCTCGGAACATGCGTTCCGCGGTCAGCGCCGTGGCATTCGCGACGCTCGCGCCTCTCGGAGTCGATGAGGTGATCTCGATCCAATCGACTCGAGCCGGAAAGCTGCCGCGAACGCATCTGATCGCCCTCATGACGAACGATTCCCGACGCTCTGTGGCTCGAATTTGACTCAAAATCGGGTCAGGGGAAGCTGCCGCGCCTCGTCCCACCCCCTGAAGCGGTCCGTTTGCATCGCCTCACACGGATGTCGCGTCTTCGCAGGTGCCTCGTCCATATGTTTGCGGACCTCAAAGCTGCCGGGATCGTTGCACATCGCTGCAGATTCGCGGAGCGCGGGACGTCCAACCAGTTGACGAAGCATCGGCAGCTGACGAATGCGCTCGGATAGCTTCACGTTGTCGTCATGTTATTTTTAATTTCAATGGCCACCATTGCTCTGGCGTCCGTGATTTTTCTCGCCGGCCTGGGGCGCCGCGCGCCGCCGTCAGACACCTCAGAAATAAAAAGTTACGTCCGTCAGTACTCCCGGAATCCGAGATAACATACGGGGTACGTCCGAGCTACTTATATGCGCTAGAGGACGTGGCTAACTCAAGGGAGGAAGATGGTGGCTGTGCTCAGGAAGCTGAAGGGAGGAAGATGGTGGCTGTGCTCAGGAAGCTGAGGAGGATGATGATCACACTCAACCTTCCTCAACAGGCTGAGGAGGATGATGATCACACTCAAGGGAGGAAGATGGTGGCTGTGTTCAGGAAGCTGAGGAGGATGATGATCATACTCAACCTTGGAGGAAGCTGGTGGCTTTGCTGCTCAGGAAGCTGAGGAGGATGATGATCACACTCAAGGGAGGAAGATGGTGGCTGTGTTCAGGAAGCTGAGGAGTATGATGATCATACTCAACCTTGGAGGAAGCTGGTGGCTTTCCTGCTCAGCCTGAGGAAGCTGAGGAGGATGATGATCATACTCAACCTTGGAGGAAGCTGGTGGCTGTGCTCAGGAAGCTGAGGAGTATGATGATCACACTCAACCCTGGAGGAAGCTGGTGGCTTTCCTGCTCAGGAAGTTGAGGAGGAGGATGATCACACTCAACCTTCCTCAACAGGCTGAGGAGAATGATGATCACACTCAAGGGGGAAGATGGTGGCTGTGCCAGTGCTCAGGAAGCTGAGGAGGGTGATCGAGGACGACGATGATCACACTCAAGGAGGAAGTTTGCTTTTGCAGCTTTCCTGTCTGCTGCTTTTGTTTCTGCTTTTCGCTCCGGGAGGATGGTGGGTTCTGCTGCTTTCCCGCTCTTCCCTTCTGCAGGCTGCTGCAAGCAAACGCGGCCGACGGGGATGAGAATGGCGGCGATGCTCAGCCACTTTCCCCTAAGGCCCCTGGCGGCTGCCCCCCTACCGACGTGACATCGACGTGTTACAAGGTAGGCCGCATCGCGTCGCGAGGGGCAGGGTCATAGGGGTAGAGCATCCGCGCACTGTACCACGAGTATGGGAGGACTTCGCCAAGCTCGTTGAACTTATCCCATTGGTCTGACATCCGACAGTAGTCTACCTCTATGTCTCCAAAGTCTGAGGCAGCAGACGACGTTCCAGCGCCACGAACGTTGCGAATGTAGACGGATGATAGCGGATACGCGGAGAAAGGAAGTCGCCAGAAACTACCATTGGCTGACAGGTCGAGCATGTGAGTCTGCCAGTTAAATGCTGCCTCGAAATGGAACCATTCCAACTGCCGAGCATCCGCCTGGAGAACGTGTGTTGACCTGCCACTCTGATACATCAGTGCACCATAGCGCCCTCCACGACGTGACTTTGCCTGTTCATCACATTCTACAAACAATCTGCATAAGAACGGAGGAGGCCCCTTTTTGTTCCAAGATTGGGGGTCAGCACGCGACGCTAGCTCAAACGAGGGCGCGCCGGCGTCGAGGTCGCCATAACGAAACAGTACCTTGAACCGCGTCACACAATTTCTGGAACCTGTTACCGGCCAAACCAGTCCACCATGGGTTATAGACACGAAGCAAGGCCCAGATCCCGATCGTCGTTTACGGATGTCCACAGGGGGAACACGACCGTGTCCATCCTGCTCCGCGGCGCATCCAGTTCGCACGAAGCGGGCCTTCCCACCGCTGCCGAAATCGGACGGCATCGTAGCCGTTATCAGACAGCACTTCCATGAGGCGTCGCTCGAGTCCAGGTGTGGTCCGGGCAAGCATCACCAGCACACGCACGTGATCCGCCGCGAAACGCTGCGCCAACGCTGGGAGAGAGGTGATGCTCGATAGATCCAAGAAGCGAAGCAAAACCCCAATGATGCCGGGGCTGCCCCAGAGCACCTGGAGGTCGCAGAGGGTCGTACGAATAGGGGTTCTATTAGCTATCATCATTTGATCGATAGTATCACTATTTATATTATCCGGAATGGCATGCTGGAACCAATACCCGCGGATATGCATGATGGAATCAAGATCTCCATACGCATGCTGGAACCAATATGCCTATAAGCAAGATGGAACCAATACCTAATATATTATTATCCGGAATGGCATGCTGGAACCAATACCCCCCATATCAGCTGTCACGATATGTAAACCTGGAGCTGCAGAAATCGAGTGGGGGCGCGCCCCACAGTCGCAGTGATCGAAAATCTCGTCGCAGGACGCCGCCAGCAGGGTTTTTTGCGCTCCCGCCTCGTCGTCGCTAGCGCACGCGCGATTCGTGCACCACTTAGCGCGAAACGGCACGGCGCCGGCGCATCACATCATCGATAGCGTTATCCGTCGGTCGAAACGAGGGGTCCGTCTCGAGCGGGAAATAAATCTCTATCCGCGCTTCGTGCAATTTGGACCAAGAAAACATCAACTTTAGGATCAACATAGCGGAGCTGAAGAACAAAACCCCAGGAGCCGCCGAGCCACCATCCCCGAGGGACCCCTCGCATCTGGGAGGACACCGAAGCTCGCGGGCGGGTGCGCCCGGGAAGTCGTCCTGTGGTCCTACTACGAAACCATGGGTTTCGAGGAGGTTGTAATTTGGACCACCCCAGCGGGATCGGCCTCCGCGGGCCCGCACTCGTCGGTAGCTGCGGCCTGGCGGGCATCGCAGAGTCATGGGTCATCGGCGCCGTCCGCGAGCTCGCCGTCGGAGCCGTCGCTAGCAGCGTCGGCCGAATCCTCAGCCGGTTGGCGGCGCCGCACTCCCCGTCGAAGTCGTGGAGCTTCGACGTGGCATTGTAGGCCCCGCGGGGCTCGATGACGAGCTTGGCGCCGCGCCGCGCGGCCCCGAGCGCGGCCGCCGGACCGTCCGTGATCGACTTCTGCTTCTTCTTCATGGGGCTCTTTGTCGGACTCTTTGGAGCGGGCGCAAGCGCGCGCGCGCGCGCTGCGCGTCTAGCAGCGCCCCGGCGCGGCGCCCGTCCCCCCGTCGTCGTCCCGCGGCGCGTCGTCCCCATCGACCCGCGGCGCCCCAACGCCGCGGCGCGTCGCCCCCGCATGCTCACCGCCAAGGCCGCGGCGCTGCCACCCGATGGGCAGCCCGAAATCGGTCCCTCCGAGACCAAATCCGACAGGGACTTCGAGCGCCGCGTCCCCAGGGAGTGCCCGGGGGCGCGCGACTGCGAACCCGCGCCGAAGGCGACCAAGAACCGGCCGCGAGACAGCCCTCAGAGGCGGACCATCGTGTGGCTCTCCCCATGGTCCAAATTACAAAGTGGTCCAAATTGCACGAAGCGCGGATAAATAAATGCAAATAAATTTTTTATGATTTTCTCCGATGACGTTGGCTCAGAATGATTTGATACTGCAACAATTTGAATTTTGATTTAATGTCTCAAAGGCGACTTTGTTCGAAGACGACTTTCATGGCGCAGAGAGGACAAAAGCGGGCTGCGGACGACGACGGCGAGGCGGCCTTCCTAGCCGACCTCGATGGCCTCTTCGAGCCCGACGAGCCCACGGCGCTCGTCGACGCCAAGAAGCAGAAGGGCCGCCCCTTGGGGAGCGTCTCCGGGCCGAGCTCCCGCCCCACGCTCTTCCTCAAGGCCTGCGTGGACGCCAAGGCCGGCAAGGCGTGGCTCATGGTGCGCTACAAGTACCGGCAGATTGGGAACAACAAGACGCGCGCCGTGCTCCGTTGCACGGCGCACCAGACCTCCGAGGGTGGACCGCGCGTCGCTCCGCGTCCAGCGCGCGCGCGCGCCGCGCGCATGACCCCCAACCCCCCAGGTGCTCGCACGAGATCCACAAGGTCTACAACGGCGGCGCGCCGACGTTCTGGGCCTTCGACGAGGGCCCCAAGTCCCGGCTCGCGATCGACGCGTTGCCGCTGCGCGGCGCCGACGAACCGGGCATCGCGCACGTGTATCTGCGCCCCATCGAGCTCAGGATCGAGGCGGGGCAGAAGGCGTCAAGATCCACGGCGACCTCATCGTCGAGGCGGGCCAGGACGCGGCCCGGAAGGCGGCCCTGCCTGACCTCGCTTCGACAACCCGAAGTATAAGGCCGGAAGTTAGATTTTTTTAATCGTTTGCTCCCGGCAAACCAATTGTCCGAGTCCAAGAGTTAGATTCTCGTGCAGGTGAAGCATGTATTTGGATATGCAACGTCCGAAGCGCGCGCTCCGCGCGAGTATGATCATTTGAGCGGTGCTCATGGCCCTGCAGCGCCGCCGGAACGCGGAACTGTGCAACGATCCCAGTGACTTCGAGGTCCGCATGGACGAGGGTGAGGCACATGCGAAGACGCGACGCTCATACGACCGCGTGGCGACTGGAACGGGGAGGTAGAGTGGGTGGGAAGGGACGCGCTGCCCCCTCGCGACCCCTCTAAGATGGTTTTCGAGCCATCGCAGCAGCGGAGATCGTTCGTCATCGACCCCGTCGCGTCCAAGGCGGCGGGTTCCTCGGGGGAGCCCGAAATCGCCGAGTCCACCGGGACGAGCTGCCGGCGGCGTTTCGTCCCGACGGTGGCCGTGGGCATTTTGCGCCGGTGCCACCGCACGGCGAGTGTCGCGCCGATCTCGCGCCACCACGGCAGCGGATGGAGACCTTCCCAGTCGGTTGGGACCACCTCTCGGCGGCGCTGAGACGACCGGCGCCGGCTTCGGCCCAACGCCGCCGGCACGGCGGGCCTTACGAGGCGTCATCCCACTCTCGGCTGGTCCCAGGAGGCCCTTCGGGCAAGCGATGTCGTCTGGGGTCAGCAGATGCGCCCCTACGAGCCTCCGGGCTGACACGGGCGTGGTGCGCGGGCGACCAACGCGCGTAAGACAATTTGTCTTTCCGGGCGGCGAGCAAATCCGCTCGATTTGCTGGCTGGAGAGAGAGAGTTTTGGTAAATCTTTCACGATTTGCTACGAAATCGTCATTTAACTCCTCAAACAAATTAATTGCTTCAAGATATTTTTATTTAACTTCCGGCCGTAGTGCTCACCAGCTCCTGTAGTTTTTTTTTATGGGGTGGCATCCGCTCTTAATCGCCCTCGCAGCGTGCGCGCATGCGAAGTGGCACGTCATCCACGGCAGCCACACCAGCCACAACGAGCGCCGCGGGCCCGGAAACAACCGGTACCTCACCTACAACGAGACCGAGGGCCTTAACAACCAGCGCATCGCGCTGGAGAACGCGCGCCTCATGGCCATCCTGCTGAACCGGACCCTCGTCGTCCCGGACACGATCCCACCCCACGACGCCGGCGACCCCTTCCCGACGAAGACCTGCCGCGTCTTCACCTGCGACTCGCTGCGCGTGCCGTGGGTGTCGCAGCGCTACTTCGAGGACCACCGGAAGCGGTGGCCCACGCGGATCCGCGACGACGCGGCGCGATGCGGCGACGTGGCCACCTGCGAAGACTTCCTGCTCGATCCGCCGAAAAACGTGGTCGTCGAGGTCCCCGTTGACAAGACCATGTACCACATGAGCCTGAGTTCTCCGAAGCGGTGGGTCCTCTCGAAGATGAAGGACGACCGAGAGCTCAACCCCAACGTGCTGACCGTCAACAGCCGCCTGATCACCCGGGCGAAGATGATCGTGGACAAGCTCGGCGCGGCCTACGACGCGGCGCATCTCCGGACGGGCGACTACTTCGACGCCTTGTATACCGACGAAGTGGCGCGCGGGGCCGTGATTCAACGTCGCTTCGACTTGAGTGTGCCGCCGCGCGCGCTCGTTCCAAACAACCTATCCGTGCCTCGAGACCGCTCTGAGAGATAATCACTCGTCCAAAAATGAGCCGAATCGAGGGAAAC